CTACAAATGTTTTAGGCTCATTGTTGTGTGGCCATTTTGCTTCGGAAAAGAGATTAGAGAACGCTGATTCATTCATTCAAAGAGAAGTAATGAAACACGCTGTTGAAATCATTTTAACTTTGAGCGCCACTTTAAAAGGCTCAGCTGACCAGCTATGCGTCGATGCCAAGAAAGAGATTTCGCTTTCCTTGAACATGACAACCTATTTTCACAAATATATATGACTCTGCCTGGAGGACAGACGCAAGTAATCGCACGCGCTCAGTCGATCTCGCTCTCATTCACTGTCTGTTTAGGCTTGTTAAGTGCAAATCTACGGAGCCTCTGTACAGATCAGCATGGTACACATTATATTATCATTACCAACTTGTTTAATATTCAGTCCACATGCATGAAGTGTAAAACGAGAAGGGCATAACCTTACAAAAAAAAAATAAAACGCAAAAATCGCGGTTGCTGCGGTTCTTGCATTCCTCTGCGGTTTGCTCGTCAATAGCGCGGTATTGCGGTTATCGCGACAGCCCTACTGTCCAATGAAAACTGACTTCTCAAAATTGGAAGCAAAGCACAAAACCGGTCAAGAACTGGACTTCACTACCATAAACCTACACCACACACACATAATTACAAAACCAATCCAATTAAAAGCGGACCAACACCGTTCACCATTCAGAGAGTTCATAAAAACACACATGTGGGTTGTGATGTCAGCTTAAGTATTTGGTAGGATCATACCAAAAGCAAGTTTGTCCACATAACACGAACATAACTTATACATACCTGTCAGTGACTGGGGACCGTGTGTCACTCATTGGGCTTTTGTTTTTAGCTTTTATTCGTCCTATATCCTATAGTCATTTTCAGATGCATCAGGAGAAGCATCGGTTTTTGATGTTGCATGAGGCAGTTGCATCCATATTCTGTTGTGCTGACCAGGAGGTTCACTAATTGAAAAAAAACAAAAACATAATATATAAGTTGCACCAAAGCAGCAGTTAAATCCCAATGATCCCACACAATCATAAACATGCCCAAAATCACATAAGCAGATGACTTTAAATATTAGACAATATGAAAGCATTTGATATGCCCTGACAACCTAAAAAGTCAAATCAGCACATAGTACTTATGCGTCATATTTTTCCAAACCAATATGTTTTTAAACCAGTCCTGAGGAAACCAAAAGAACATTTGGTTCATACAGGAGTGGTGCGGTTTACCAAAAAATAATCCTACTGTTAATAACATGAACATAATAACACTCTACCTCTAGTGTAATTGTAGTTCATACATATAAAACACACTAAATATGTTCTGTATACACAAAAACGTTATATAGTTATAAAAAAGTTACGTTATACCTAGTTTTAACAGTACAGTAAGTCAGAAGGCTTGTATAGGTCAGTCAATCATTTAACCAAAATAACGCTCACAATTGGTGCTATTCCGTTATCGTGCGGCTGTAACTGTAACGTTACCTTCATTTTCAGCAGCAGCTCCCAGGTGAAGCCGAAACACGTCCTACTGCTCGAGGTTACACTCCTTACACAATTAAAACACTTTTGAGTTTCCTAATGCTGAATGTGTGTGTGTGTGTACGTCCACAGCCAACACAGCAGCGGCAGATCCTCAACCCAGACTGCAGGCGAGGCCTTTGCTATGCTAAAGCTAACAGCAGCCTAATGTCCCCTCCAAAAATGAGACGCGTTATTTTCCCAACAAAAATAATAAACAGTCGTGCGCATCCACACCAATCCCACAGACATCCAGACTGGGAAACACTGCACGCGCTCATACACGTGTCACCTCGCGGAGAGTTTCCATGGAGCGGCGACGAAATCTCTTCAGCATCAAAACAAACAAAACCACTCGATAAAAGTTCGCGGAGGTCTTCCCGAATGTTTGTAGAGAAGTTACCGCGTTCGTACGGAAGCGAGGGTCCACGCTAAAATCAGTTTAGAGGTTGTAGGTTCCGGTCCATCAAACTGGGGAAAGTTGAGATGTACCGGACTGCTGCCGTGCCTCCCGCGGGGTTGCGTCTCAAATCCTGGTGCCTGGCGAGCCGCCTGCATGGACAGCACTTCCGATTCAACCGAGTTCACGCGAGCTCACTCTGCTGAACTGACTCGGAACGAGCCCCACAATGCTGTCTGGGTAGACAAGCTCACTAGAATTTGAGAAACTGTCAGTTGTTTGGGTTATAGTTTGGCGTGAGGATGGTAATTCAAAGTTTCGTTTTCAAACTCCGGAAACGCGCCCAGTGGAAAATAAAATGTTAGGACGGTTTTTATTTTATTTTAAGTAAAAGTCGATCATTTTTTTCTTTACAGCTGGCTAAATGAGTTTAATTAATCCGTTGGAAAATGTGAGCTAGTCACTGGTTAAATTAGAAAAGCTTCCGAGCCCAAGTATTATGTTAGCTTGCCGCACGGTGGACGTTCACTAAACTGCAACGCGTAAATTACGTTTTAGCCTACTTGAGTTGGATCTTTTACGTACCTTATTGGATTTTTCATCATAATATACAGTTTAAAATGCACATAAATGTACTTACAACAGCTGAGTCGAGAATCTAAAGACGATTTCTTAAAAGATTTCCACCTGAACAAAACAACAACAAAACACTTTCATATAATAAAATGTTTTAAAATCATTAATATATTGAAAAACTGCTTCACTGCTTTTTATAATAAATAAAACATTATGCAAAATCCCTTACAAATCCCTTTTTTATATATATATATATATATATAAGCCTTTTAGTAGCATTTTTTACAATCTCTAAACAGTTAAATCACCTAGTCCTAGATTTCTGTCATTAAACCCTAATATCTTAATGATTTGTAATTCAGAATTTGAACACATTCATTCGAAGAGGTGTATTCAAGTCATGATTAAATATTTTTTTCATTTATGTTCTTTTTAAGGTTTACTAACATATTTTTAATCAATTACAGCTAAACAAAAATAAACATTGTCAACCAGAATTAAAATGATCCTTGTCACTAAGGTCTATTAGTGACAGTCCATCAGTCTGAATTTCTGTATGTATGAAAACTTCCACATAACTGCAACAACACCCTAAAATACATTATTATTATAATGATGATGGCAATGCTTATTGATTTATCAACTGGTGTGGTCAATTCACCATAACAGATAAATAACTGATGCAAACAGCCGGTAAGTCATCACTCAAAGTCTCAAAATTTGAAAATGGTTACACTTCAAAGACAAGATTTCTTGGTTTACTTTTTCATTCAAGTCATTAATCACACACAAACCATTCAGTAATCTTCCAGAAACATTTAGTAGTTTTTCATGATCATTTCTGAATATTGCACATACTAAAAGTTTAAGAATGTAAAAGCAACATAATAACAAGTAGTGTTCCTAATTACAAAAATATCAACTATTTCCAGTACTTAAGAGTTTATACACTGCATTCCTTATGAGTACAAATATATTACATTAGATTTGATTGTAAGAATTAATCAAAATGGCAAATAATAAAAAACAATTAAGACTGTTTAAGGGCTCTGATACAGCATGGATGTTTTCCCATCTGAATATTACCAACCAGAAATAAACTTTAATAGCTGATATCCTTTTTAAAAATATGTAAACATCTATAAGCTGCAGATCTTTATTAGCTGGTTCACTTGCTCTGATTCTCATTCTTCCCTCCAGTGTTAGAAACGAGAGGCCAAACCGCTGAGCAGAGATCTTTCAGTCTCTCTTCACGTCCTGCCCGTTAACCTCTGCCATCCTGTGGCGATTCATCCAGCGCTGGTATTTGAGCTGGGATTTGCGGTGTGTGAAACGACTGATGTCAACCATGAACACCCAGGACAGCGCATACATGGCCACACCGCCACATTTAATGATGAACTTGGGTCTTGGAGAGATTAGCTCACAGTACAACATGGCACCACCAACGAAAATGCGCATGAACACAAACAGCAGCACGAACAGTACGTCCACCACGTCTCCGAGGAAGCTGTCGTAGCGGCCAGAGTGTTTCAAAAACCAGCGCGTCTGGAGGAGTGGGTTTGTGATCTCGCTGCCAAACAGCACGGCACAAGACTCGATGCCCGACTCCTCCAGCCACAGAGTGAGCAGAATACCCAGGATGCTCATGGTGTGGTGAGCGAGCATTACCAGGCCCTCTGTGCGGAAGTACACACACCAGGCCATGTCAAAGATAAAGTAGCTCAGACTGACCACCATAGCGGTGATCTGCAGAGGGGTGTTCTTTGTACCTGGAAATGACATATAATAAAAATTAGCCATTTGTCATGAAAAAAGACAATGTTTGCAATGCTAATAAGACAACATTATATGTTAGGGGTGTGCGACATGTCTGCGATAATAACGTAATTGTTGTTTTAAAGGGGTAATTTGCAGCTGGCAAGATGGTATTTTGATCAAAGTTGGCTGTCTATGTAGTAGAAACTGTCTATTAATTTTTTTTTTAATTGTTGCTACACGACCAGAGAAAACAGAAAAAAGGGCTGTGGTGAAGAAAAGTAGGAAAACTTCAACACCCATAATGCACTGGGCTCGATCAGTCTATCCGTGAGTGGGGATTCAAAAATGTGGAAGCATGAGCTGTAGTTTTCACAAAAGTAGTTTGTCAAGTCCTTCGAATTATGCATTTTATGTCATCTGATAGACTTTTGCTGACAAATAACGGGATTTTCTTGGTATAGGTCACAGAAAAATAATATGCAATGCTCATTTACTTGTACTACTGACATTGTAACAATACAAAGCTTTTTGCAAAATCGGCAAACTAACCCTTTCACAATGTGTGAGCAGCTGACACTATAGAGTATTTCATTCACTTTGCAAAAACCAAACAAAAACACTCCAAATATCAGCATGATTGCAAATTTGATATTGATTTTATACAACAGTTTCCAACAGTTCAATAAACAAGATGTTAAAATTAAGCAAGTTACATTTTAGACATAGGCTAATATTGTCTGTTTTGGCTCTATTTCACCAACAAAAATCATTTTAAACAAGTCTCTGAGAAACAAACATTGGTGTTTCTTTACTGACTGAATCTGCGTTTAGAACAAATCAGTTGAGGGAATAATTCAATGACTCATTCATTAACCGTCACTTGCTTTGTTCCTCAATAAATCAGCCATTTGAACGAAGATATGAATTTGAAGATGCGAGCCAATGACTCACTCATTAAGACAATTCCTGCGTCCGAATATGACTACTTCCCTAAATATAAGAGTGAAAAACTGCACATGAGAAGAGTAGTATGTCCAAATTTATGATATTCAAAAAACAGTTGGTTGAAATGTACCAACTTACAACTTCCACTGAGATTCCAAAATGCGAAATAACTAAATGGCAGTGAAACTGACAGTGCAATTGACAGTGTAAGTGATTTAACGGTCGCAAACTAAGTTCTTATTCAAATGTAGTACCTATTTCGGATGCAATTTTGGACACAGCAAGTGACTTGCCACCATCTACTGGTAGTTTTAGTTACTTTTCCAAATGTTCTTTCTAAAACAATAATCTCATAGCACTAATTATGCAATTGTAATCACAGTGCAAATGCATTTATGGAGCTCCATTAAGTAGTCTGTATATATCGCACACCCCTAATTTATATATATTAGTATTTGTACATCTTGCCTGGGTAGGTGAAAGGCCACAGTCCATCTATGTATCCAATGTAAGCGGTTATACAGACTGCAAGGATGCCATGGAATAGTGTAACTAGCCGACAGTTCCATTCATAGCCACAAGAGCCATTTGTGTAGCACAGCAAAGCATAAAGACCAATCCACCCAGCTAAGCACGCTCCGACTCCCAGCACCAATGGCGACATCTTTATTCTGTGAACCTAATCAAATACAACGAGCGGTCACATTCACAAAACGCTTTACCATGTTAGATTGCATGCATGCATTCATTAGAGTACTTACTTGAAGCACCACAACGCTTGAGCGACTGTATAAAAATATGACACTTTTCCTTTGATTCTGATTCCTTTGATTTCTGAAACTACTCGAGTATGTCTGAAGGGTTTGCAGTGGCTTTCACATTAACAGTTGAGAAATACAAGTGTCTGGCTTGTATCTGGGTGTGTCAAAAGTAGACCAAAAGTTACTGTGGCAACCTTATCCACAGCTCTTTATCCTAATGTTGTCTGAACCTCGGATGTAAAGCAGCTGAAGTTGAACTAGGTCAATAGTAGGTTACTTTATTTTAACATATTCAATATATATATATCACTGATATAGCCTGTAAGTTTGAGAACCGAGAATGTGTTCTTATTAATAACAGGTTTAATAAGAAATAACTGATAAAATAAACACTCAAAAGTTACTGTGGCAACCTTATCCACAGCTCTTTTTCCTAATGTTGTTCAAACCTCTGAAGTAAAGCAGTTTAACTACATCAATATTTGGTTATTTTATTAAACATCTAAATACTGATATAGCCTATATGTAGATTTGGGAACTGAGAAAGGGTTCTAATTCTTACTCAACAGGTTCAGTAAAAAAATAATTAATAAAATAAATGCTCAAAAGTTACTGTGGCAACCTTATTGAAGCTCTTTATCCTAATGTTGTCTGAACCATGGATGTGAAGCAGTTGAACTTCGTAAATATTAGGTTATTTTGTCAAACATATACATCAGGATATTATATATATATATGTGTAGGTTTGGGAACTGGGAAAGGGTTATTATTCTTATTTATAACAGATTCAATAAAAATAATAAAATTAATCAAATAAATGATTAATAAAATAAATACAATAAAAATATTTTTACAAAAAATTAATTAATTTAAAACATGCTCCTGCTTCAGGCAAAATTATGCAATGAAAACGAAAAATAGTCATTTTCAATTGCTTTTGGTTTATCAAAAATATACGTGACCTGTGAAGTCTGATCAGTTAGCAAGCAAAATAAATAGATGAATAAAAAACGAATGAATAAAATATGTTTTCAATATGTTTGTATTAATTATTTTTATATAATATATATGTAGAATCAATTGTTGCACTGCATTTATATCACTTCTAAAAACGTAAAAAAAAATTAAATTAAATGCTGTTCTGTTTTCTTATATCAGTTTTGTTGGAATATGAGAATATCTGACCATTTGGCACCAGACTTTTTATATTTTCAAACTTATTCATTAAAAGTACTACTAAAAGCTTCTTCTTACGATTTCCATCCCCACTGTTGCCAAAGAGTCATATAGACATGTTCAATGTAAATGCACATTTCAGATGTAAAATAAATAAATAGCCTAAATAAATTAAATCATTATAATGGAATAATTATATATATATATATATATATATATATATATATATATATATATATATATATATATACACATCTTTCTCACATATTCTTAGTTCACTGCAAAACAGATACTGATGGATCCAGACTTGAGCTAATCTTCTGAGCTATTGACTGGCTGAGGTTCAATTAATTACCACCCTTCATTAAATTAAGACGAGCAGTTAAACGTGTAGCCATGAAATGAAATATGTTCTTTAAAAGAAGAACAAAAGTATAGATCTCTTACAATAGTCACCTCAATAGCATGTTCATTGCCAGGCCGGAGAGTTTTTCAGTGCTCAGCATGGATGCGGTCTTCTTCCTCCGCGCCTCTCGTTTCAGCATCACGTACAGAAGCGCAGCAGCGGACACGAGGCCTTGAGGGACCTCAGTGTTCAGCTCCGGCATCGTCTTGGAGATGGTACGCAAATCACCACAAAAACAAAAGCCACATTTCAGCCGCTCAGTCCCTCAGCGGCTGGACAACTGCGAGGATGACAACAAAGAGGAAGACACATACTTACAGCAGGGCGACCTCTGCTGGCACCGCGTCCTTCGCTACAAATGACCATAGTTTTTGACCATTATTACTCCAGTCTTCAGTGTCACATGATCCTTCAAAAATCATTCTAATATAGCCTACTGATTTGCTCAAGAAGCATCTCCTATTAGTGTATAACAATAATATTTAAAAACATGATATAATGCTTAAAGTTTTTATTAAGTGTTAAACATAGGTGGTTATACACCAAAGCAGAATGTTGCAGCTCTGCACTCACATTTAAAAACAATTTTGCTTTTCTAACAGTAAAAAAAGAAGAAGAGACTTTTATAAAAGACACTTTGCTGGAGCTTTTATTTAAAATGACTTCATATTATGCTCATATTCATTTTCATAGGAAAATAGCGTTGATACTTTATTCTTAACAGCATTATCCTTAAAAAGAGTCAGTAAACACTGAATCACCAAGGCACTTGTATCCCAGACAATGGCTGTTGATTGGGGAGGTGTAATCTCAAACAACACCTTCAACATAACACTTAAAAACTCTTTAAAACATTTTTAAATAAAATAAATCAGCATAAACATTTTAGTACCATGAACTACAATCGAGTCAACTGTGGCTTGTTAAACGTGGACATTCGCATAGTAAGAGAGGCGAGTCGTGAGTTGAAGGTGAATGTAGTGAAATGTGGAACAATAATACAGTTTCTCTTCTTCATGATAGTGCTCAGTCTGTGGATTTGGTCCTGTTGAATGAAGGTGATTTCTTCTAGGACATTTGATACCACACAATCCGTATTTGTGATGCTTTCACAGCTCTGCTGATGTTCTGAGGTCATACTGATAGGAGGAGCCTGGGTGACAGTAATGCTGCATAACCAAAAGATGGCAGTGTTGGATGCACAGTAGTGACAATCTAAGCAGGATTTCATCAGCCTGATGCCTTTCTCTGTATGATTTCTATCCCTCTGTTTTACCAGAACATACACTTACTTTGGTTTCCTCATGTCACTTTTGCAGTGTTGCCTGTTCCCAACTAATGAGAGTCCATACTTCAAACTATGAGTTAATGATATTGATCCAACTGGTTCTTAAATTATACTGTTGTGCAATGGAATAAAGACAAGTCCATCCTTATGTAAATGAAAACACATACACTCCCAAAGAATCCCAGCATTAAGACTTGAGGTGAGATAATTCACATGATTGAATCTGTCTGAATTAAATGTTGAATGACTCAATAGCTTTTTATGTCTCTACCAATATTAATCAAAGCATGCGTACGTCCACCATGAACTTAATATAGTGCTTTGAATCTAAGTCAAAATATAGAATATAGAAAAAAGGCATTTTCTCTGAACATGTGCACTGTGCTTAAGTGTCATCAATCATTTCCCACTGCAAAATAAATAATACCAGTTTCAGAAAAGAAAAAAAGAAAATTGGCAACCTGATGAGATCCAGCTAATTTTAAGATTACATCTGGTTATATACTGACTAATTCACGGGTTGCTCGTCCCAAACTCACCTGGGTCTCAAGACTCAAAAGATACTCATTCCACAGTGCTAGTAAGAGTAAGAAGAGTTTTAAAACTACTGACCAGCTCAAAGATGTGGGCAACTGCTCTGGAGAAACAAAATTAGAGCACTAGTGCTGCTCAAATGATGCTCCATCCACACCCATCCAGCACCATTTCTGCTCTGTGCAGAAGGCATGAGTCTGAAGGCTTGGAGGTGAATGAAACTTGTGGAGAAGGTCACATTAAATATGCTTTTGCAGAAGCATATGTGGATCTAGGTCTCTTCCTCCCATAGGCACAGCTGTTTGTGGGGTACGTAGTAAGTAAACTGGTAGCCTTTGCTGCAGCTCTTGATGCCGCATTTATATGGGCTGCCCCTGCCAGAGACGTCCCTGTTGCGGCAGTACTTCAGCAGGCAGGGGTACCATTCCAGTCTGAGGTTGTAACTACACAAGCAAGGCTGCCACAGGTCCTTCACTGTCCCGCAGCTCTGCAGGCCTGGCACCGCCACTGCTTGAAGTTCGAACATGGAGCCCTCCATGCCTGAAGAATCGGAAAAATCATTTTAGTAAACGATCTTCAAGCTTCAATCTATGTAGGTCAGTGATGCGTTACAAATGCAGATGTGTTCCAATTAAAACGGTGATGCTTCTGTACTGAGTCTAACTGCATTAAATTGACGTGGAAAAGAGTGGGATAAGGCTCAAACTTTTTTTATTGTTTTACTGTCGCCATGTCTACAATGATAGTTAAACATGATAATTCAAGCAAAGAGTCTTATTATATTATTTATTATTAGTATTTAACACAATCAAAACATAAAATAAATTAAAAATTTATATTTTACAAATATAGCCTTAATATAGTTATTAATATCATTATTAATATCGTCTGCTCTATCATTATTAAAAATCACATTACTTTTTACTATAAAAATTTTATATATTTTATATGAAATATTGGTAACACTTTAGTATAGGGACCAATTCTCACAATTAACTAATTGTTTATTAGCATGCCTATTATTAACATATTGGTGGTTTATTAGCACTTATAAAGCACATATTCTGCATGACCATATTCTACATCCCTAATCCTTCCTAATACCTAAACTTAACACACATACATATACATATACATATATATACATATACATATATATATATATATATTTCAAACAAACATTATTACACATTAAAATATATTTACATTATATTGGTTTCATCCTTTCTTGGCAACAAAACTTCGCAAAAATACAGAATTTAATCAATGTTTCATTTTTGTTGGTATCTTTAATTCACCATTAAAGCCTGATGTGTCAAATGACACATGATCTACATTTGCATTTATGCATTTTTTTAAATTATAATTAATTTACTTTTTACATATTTTGTCTAAAGGTTAAATGTGGAGTTCAAGTGGAAAAATAAGTGACTATTATTTCATACATCAGCCATGGTACAGTTCATATCACGGTTTTGGAGCTTCGGTTCGGTTCGGTTTGCTGTGGGGGTAGGGTTCATGGCTTGCCACCAGCAATGCTAAAGAACACCAAATTCCCTTTTACCTTAATAATAATAATAACAATAATTGCTCTCTATTAGTTCTTGTCAATTGATGCATTAACAAATGAGATTTGAAAAATTGTTGCTTTGTAAAGTGTTAAAAAAATTAAATAAAATAGTGCCTGAATAATGCAAACAAGTCATTGAGCAACATTACTTAGGCTACATATAAAAATGCATGTGCCATTGATAAATTAAATGGAATAGCTGGACAATAAGGAAATGATTTTAATCAAATATGTAATAACTCAATCTGACGCTTGAGATTTGCAAGCTGTTTGAGAGGCGGCTGTGCGCGCTTTGGCTGAGAGCGCATTAAAGACTGTCTCTCAGAGAGTGCACGAGTACTTTATGGGTTAAAATAGCTTGAATGTTTAAATTGGCATGACTTAAAATTACGTGCAAGTGACAATTCCATCAACTGTCCGAAACACGCGCTAGTCTTGCGTGCACCTGGCTTGCAGAGCAAACTCAATGTGGATGTGAGGCCATTTGTGTATTTTCAGAGAGTGGGAGAAGACACAGTACCACTCAATCACTCACACTGTTTGTGAAATTCCGTCTCACAGAACGTTTTAAAACGACTGATCTGCTCTGATAATCTGTTTGGATTCAACCTACATGCTATACTGCATAATTCTCCTGCTTTATAATCGCGAAACCTGCGGGAATGTGTAGAATTATGCACAATGCCTGAAATTCCGCAGCGAAACACGGCAACTACACTCTAAAAATTCACCGCGTTTGATTATAATACTGTTCTCATTATAATGTTATGTATACGACAGTCCCAGTCATAGTTATTAATATTCTGCAGTGTTGTTTGTGTTGCTTATGCTGCGCGCTGAAGAGATAATCACCGTAGCAGGCCTACAATGAAGTGCTTTACTGCAGCATAACTCAACCAAATGCATCGTACATGATATAAATAATAAATACACGATATACCTATAAACAAAATATTGCATCTTACAGTTCCACAAAAGGCTGAGAGTGGCTGCACAAGCAACTGTGCTAGTCATGAAGATATAGCCTATATGACAGATTTGTTCTGCACATGTTGCTCTTAAATGGTACTTTCCCTTTCAAAGTGATTCAAGCAATTCAAAGCCATCATGGCTACATTTGAAGTGTCTCAGCAGGGGGCGAGGTAGGCCAACAGAGTATCGTGGTAAGCTATTAGAGTACCACGGTACGTACCGTGGGTGGTGTATTGTGGTTTTTCAGTTTGGTTTGAATATCGTTACACCCCTACTATAGAGGGTTAAGATGTGAAGTGCACTATGTCAGCGATATATTTAAGCATGCTGGGTTTGGTAGGGTGTAATTAAGGGACACAGTAAGTATGCTTGCCTCTGTCCAGCCAGTGTCTGATATCAGCCTCACGCGTGTACACAGCCTCCAGGGCGACGTTGCACATGTTGTGGATGTGGGTGCTCAGCTGCCATGTCCATGTCAAATTGACTGCTACGTCCATGCTCAGCATCTCCGTGCTTCTCTTCTCTTCCGCTGTGCGGATGGCCAGGGGATTTTTCTGTAAAATAAAAAGGAAGATTTTAGTATTAGTCCTGTCGTTCTTTAAAGCTAGATGTTTCCAGTCTTTTCTCACACCTTTCACTCATAATCACACATCTAAGACCTTGGCCGCCCTTCCAGGAACTACTCATCAAAGGCCTTTTACAGCCTTGTTCCTCTGAGATCTCCCATTTAAAACATCACACTCCTACGCGACACAGTTAACTCATGAGCTCAACTCTAACACCCAGCATCTGCTTGTTTTCACCCCATTGACTTCTCCCTGCCCTGTCATCAGCCACCAAGGGAGCCTGGGAGCAATGGACTGACCTGTCGGAGTCTGGCCATGGACTCGCTGGGGATGATCTCATTGTGGTTGAGCCGTGTAATGAAGCAGAGCGCCTGGTACTGGCTCT